TTTCTTAAGAAAGCTTTATTTTGGTATAGTTTCATAGAATGTTTTCCTTTGGATAAGTTTCTTGAGAAAGTTTTCTTTTACAAATGTTTATTGGAATAGTTTTCTTTTAGAGAAATTGGTTAAGATTTCTGTTAGAAAATTTTCTTGGAAATTTTTTTTTTTATGGAAAAGCTTCATGAGTAAGTCTTCTTATAGAAAAATTTATTGCGAACGTTTTTAAGGGAAGTTTACTTTTAGAAAAGTTTCATGAAAAGGGGGTTTTTTAGAAAAATTTCTTTAAAAAAAGTTTGTTGAGAAAGTTTTCTTATAGAAAAGAAAGAAAGTTCATTGAAAAAGTTTTCTTTTAGAAACGTTTCTTAAAAAAGTTTTTTTGGTTTATAGAAAGTTTTCTTTTAAAAAATTTTCATATAGAAAGTTTTCTTATAGAAAACATATAGAAAGTTTTCTTATAGAAAACATATAGAAAGTTTTCTTATGGAAAACATATGGAAAGTTTTCTTATAGAAAAGTTTATAGAGAAAGCTTCTTATAGAAAAGTTTATAGAGAAAATTTTCTTATAGAATATTTTATAGAGAAATTTTTCTTTGCGGAGTTTTCTTTCTGAAGGTTTTCTTATATAAAAGTTTATTGTAAACGTTGTTTGAAAGAATAGCTTCTGATAAAAGCTTTCTTTTACAAAAGTTTCTTAGAAAGTTTTCTCGTAGAAAAGCTTTTCTTATAGAAAGTTTTCTTATACAATGTTTACTTAAAGAAAAGTGTCTGAAAACCCTTCTTAAAGAAAAATTTCTTGAAAAGCCTCTATATATCCATAGGCTTTACAAACTGCATCATTCTTTAATTTTAAGGAAATTTTATTTTTCAAAATTTTCTTCTATTTTTCTATAGACACAAGCCTTTGATAATTCTTAACAATTTTAAAACCTTTATGCTTATTATCACCAAAACGTCAAAGCAACGCCCTCTTTTTCTTTAATAATTTCCCCCAAAACAAACAAAAAACTGCAGGTACCTAAACCCAAATTTACTCCTTTAGCAGTGCACCAACAGCTAAAGAACTAATAGATTATCTTTAAGCAAAAACAGAAAAGTAGAAAAACACCAGCTGGTTTTGAATTTCATACAACCAGCTTGAAATCAATTAGCGTTCAAACAATTTGGACAAAAAACACTTGTTAACACCTTAACAAATTTTTCTTCTCTAACCAACCAACCAACCTTTTCTATAACTTTAACACCCGTAAAACAAACTAAATACATATTTTCCACATGAAGGGATTGCGAAATTTTTAATGCGGGTGTTATTGTGTCAATGTTAAGACTACAACAGGTTGTGAGCACACAGGCAAAGTTGCATTACTATAAGGGTTTTCCCAACAAAAGAAATTGTCAATACAATTCCAAAGGTTTTTCCATTTTACCGTTAAAGGACACATATGTATGTGATTATCCAGTCTTAGCACGTGCTTTAAATTTAAAAGTTAATTTGTGATCGAAAACAAGTGCAAACTGGGAAAAACCACGCAAAAGATCAGTGAGGTTTCAAAGGCGGATTTGTGGTTATTGTAAAAACCTGGATTTCCCGGAAATATTTAAGAAAATGTAACGAAGTAAAGATGTTTTCTTTCAAATAAGTAAGAGTTTTACTTTTTCAATAACAATAAATTTTTCTTTAACTTTGAAAAATTTTTAAAAATGTATATATCAACCGATTTGTTCACTTTTACAAATTTTTAAAAGATTATCTCGTGTACTAATAAAATCTAAAAAAATATTTTACATTTTTCAATAAAATACTTATTTTATTAATATTTGAAATTTTTAATTTAAAAAAAAAAAAAATTTAAAAAAAATATATTTTTAACATCAAAAATTTATGATGCAAAACATTTTTTTAAAGAAGATTAGTAAATTACAAATTATTCAAATGATCTGTAACTTCCTGTTTAAGTTTTCACAAAAAAAAATTCAATTTCCTTTTTCATGACTGAATAAACAAATTTTGCTTCAAAAACCAATTTTATAACAGGTTGTTAAGGAAAACACCAAACAATAACTCTTTAAAACTCTTTCAATAAAATTTTCTTTACGCAACAGCTGAAAAATCAATAAAATTTGTCTTTTTATTTCTTTTTAAGAACAAAATTTATAATTTATAAACATTTAATTTGAATAAAACCTCTTTTTCTAAAAAAGAAACCTTAACTTAAACCAACACTTTCTCACTTTAACACATGTTTAACGAAAAATAAAAATTTAAGAAAAATTAATGATGAAGAAAATTTGGGGAAACTCATAGAGGTTTTCCTTACTAATAAATTCTTCTTTTAAAACAGTTTAAACCATTAGCATATGAAGAGTTTTTTTTATAATGGTTAAAGTTATTTGGAAGTCTATGTTATTTTAGTGAACTTCTAGTGGCTTTAAAATGTGTTACTAGACAAATTAACGTAGTTTATTTTTACTTATATGAGAAATTATGGGGGGCTAAAGCAGCTGATATAAGGGCGGAAGAGGTGTGGTAAAGGGCAATAGAATACAAGTGGTGTGGGCAAGACAGACAGACAGACAGAGAAGACAGTACAGACCTTAGACAAGGCAACAGCCGAAACTACATTCTATGTACTAGAAACTATTGAAACTATTATGGACTGGAATATAGTCATGGCTTAAGACTATAGATTTAGTTATATTTCGGAATATAGACGAGACTATAGCCCAGACCACAGACCAGATTATAGTCAATATTACAGTACAGATTATATACTTGATTATAGTGTACACTACCAGCTATTTACATTACAGTACAGATTATAGACTAGTCTATAGTACACACTATATGCTAGACTATGGTAAAGACTTAGACTACAATATACTTCAGACTAAAGACCAGACTGTAGTACATACTATAGACTAGACAATAAACTAGAATATAGTCCAGATTACAGACTACACCATCCGGACTATGGACTAGACTATAGTCCACACTATAGAATATGGACTAGACTATAGACTATGGACTAGACTATAGTCCAGAATATAGACTTGACTATAGTCCAGACTATAGCATAGACTATAGTCCAGACTATAGAATATACTACAGTTCATACTCTATCGTCTATACTATAGACTAGACTATAGTTCAGACTATAAACTAGACCGAAGTCCATACTATAATCTAGACTAAAGCCCAAACTATAGACTAGAATATAGTCCAGACTATAGTTCAGACTATAGCCTTGACTCCAGATTACTATAGTCTAGTCCATAGTCTAGTCTTTCATCTAATTTTTAGTCCAGCCGATAGACTAGTCTTTTGTATAAAGTCTTGTCCATAGCTTAGTCTACCCTATAGTATAGCCTATGGTCCGGTTTATACTCTAAAGTCTAATATATAGTCGAGCCTACCGTCTAGTATATAGTCTATTCATTACTGTAATTTATATTCTAGGCTATACTCTAGTGTATAGGTAAGCCTATATTCTAGTTTATAATCTGTACTATAGTATAAATAGTCTAGTATATAGTCTAACATATGATGTAGTATATTGTCTAGTTTATATTGTATTATTTAGTCTTGGCTAGTCTATAGGCAATAGTTTATATAGTCTATATTCTATTCTATAGTATATTTTATATAGCCTAGTCTATAGTCTAGTCTATAGTCTAGTCTATAGTCTATATAGTCTAGTCTATAGTCTATATAGTCTAGTCTATAGTCTAGTCCTCAGTCTAGTCTATAGTCTAGTATATAGTCTAGTCTTTATTTTCGTCTATTTCCTAGCCTATAGTCTAATCTTTAGTCTAGTCCATACCATAGGCCTTAGTCTAGTCTACAATATAAACTATAGTCTAGTTTAGGGTCTACTTTTGTCTATATTCTAAACTCTTGTCTAGATTATGGGCCACAACTGTCTATAATCTATTTTAGAATAGAATAGTGCATACTATAGTTTAGTCTGTAGTCTAGTATATAGTGTATAGGCTAATGTTTACTGTATTGTAAAGTCTAACCTATAGTATAGTCTATGGTCTAATCAATAGTCTTGTCTTTAGTCTAGTACAATTTGTCTATCTATAGTCTAGTCTATAGTCTAGTTTTGGTCAAGTCTATAGTTTAGTCTATAGATTAACCTCTATTCTATTATATAGTCTAGCTAAAAGCCTAGTGTTTATTCTAGTCCATAGTCTGTAGTTAAGTCAATAGTCTAGTCTATAGTCAGACCTACAGTGTAGTCTATAGTCAAGCCTATAGTGTTTAAACCTTAACCTTTAAACTTGCCCTAATTTTATTATTTTTTTTTTTTTTTTGAGCGAAAATTTAAAATTTTATTAAAAATTTAATTTTAAATAAAAAGTGTAATATATTTTTTTTATATATTTTGAAAGTTGTTTGTATCTTTTTTTTGAAAAACATTGAATTTGTTAAAATTGCTTAATAGATTTTTTTTATAAAAGTCCTGAACCAGGCTTAAGAAAATTTGCCTTTTTCAAAAACTAAAATATTCATTTGAAAATAAAATGATTCTTTTAAAAGAAAAATGTGAATAAGTTGGTGTTTTCTAAAAGAAGATAACTTGAAGTTTTAGAAAACTTTTATTTGGTTAAAATTAATCAATAAGTTTATTTTATAATGTTGGCTGAAAATTGGTTAGAAATGTTTTTTTTTTTTTTTTTGTTTTTTAAAGAAAATGCATAATGAATTTGTATGTTTTATAGTTTTTTTTATTATTGTTTAATAAATGATTATTAAAAACAGTTAATTATATAAAAAAAATGTTTTCAAACTTAAAAAAAAATGCAAAACAAATATAAAAAGACAACGAACTACATAACAGCAGATCAAATATAAGCGTAAACAAACACTTAAAAATCTACAATTTAACACTTAAATTACTAAGAAATTAATAGAGAAAAATAAAATAATAATACTAAATTTTAATTTAATTAAATAAATTAAAATAAAAACTAAAAAACTAAAACTTAAAAACTAAAAGCGTAATAGAGAAGCATTTTCCCCTAGTTTGTCAACAATTTGGTGTTTGCAATAAATTCGGTTTGTTTGTCTGGAGTTGTAGGATGTTCAGGAATCTAAACATATATAGAGGGCAGGGCCACACCAATTTCAAAATAATTGCGAGCATCTACTTTATACTTTTTGGCACTGACATTTTCACGAGCATTGGACTCGGATCTTCTTTTGAGATTTGAACGCACAGGAGTATCCAAAGAAAAGGAATCATGACGTTTGACAGCGGGTGTGGGCATTTCTAAAAGTTGTTGGTGATTAAGAGGTGTACCCGGCAGAGGAGTGGCTGGTGATGGAGTCTTAGCTATGGGAGAGGCAGGTTGAGGTGTAACAGCTTTAAAGGGTTTCTTATAGGATAAAGGCTCACAATTAAGAAAACTTAAATCACTGCAGGGATCATCACCAGCCGCATATGAAGGTGACAGCATAATGTCTTGATGTTGTTCCACTTGATTTTTCAGTAGAGTTCTTCTTCTCAAATTGAACGACTTGCGTGGCTTCTTTTTCTTTTCCTCTTTACGGGCTGAATCCAATATGGCATCAATCAAATGATCTAAAGTTTGATCACCCATTTTATTGGACATTAAGCCGGTATTGTTTAAATCCTTTTTATTGACAGCTTTCAAAGCTGAAACCTCCATAATATCACCCTCCTCCTCCTTGGCTATGGCCACAAATTCCTGTTCCAATTTACGTTTCTTAGGTAAAGAAGAGATCTTTTTATGTTCCGATTCCTGTTTAGAGTTAACCTCAGGTGTGGTGAAATATCTAGGATTACCCATGAAAGGATCAGGCAATAAACCTCTTAAAGCCAATTGTTGTCCAGTGGGTAAAATAGTACTGGGTGAATATTCCTCTTCATATTTAGGCAATGTAGCGGCATACTGGGGTATTTGAGGTATAGTAAAACCCACCGAAGAATGTCTTCTTATAGTCGAGGCATTGGTGTCATTGAAAACATTAACAGAAACACGCCGTCTTTCAGGAGTTCTATTAGCCACCGTTTCGGGTGTAACATTTAAAATATCCGCCAAAGGAGCCAACACCAAAGGACTATTGCGTGTTCTGGTCACCATGGGTGTGGAAGTTAAAATCGGTATATTTTCCTTATTCGCTATGGTAGCACGTCGTTTACGCCTTTTGGCTTCAGTTAAACGTGGTGTACGCATATTGTTTGTTATTGTAGTTGCCGTTGAGCTATTAGTGTGTGATGAAACTGGGGTATCTTGTGGTAGTCTTTGTGCTGAAGCAGTCCACTTTAACATGTTGTTAAATTGTTAATTTTTTAAAATAATTTTTCTTTAAAATATTCCAAAATTTTGCTTTGAACAATAACTGTTCTGAATGACTATTGCTGACAAACTGATGCTATCCTTCCACTAGCGGTAGTATTTATACTACAGCACTCTCATTACACAATATTAGCTCATGTTTTAGTTCGGCAACTCTCTTCGTAAGGGTAGTTTAACCGTTACTTTATTATCATTGGTTACCTAAGTGCTCTAGTTTAATTATATTTCATAACTAGTTTAAGTTTTACTCTCCTTCGCTCTTTCTCTCTCTCTCACTTTCTATCGTACTCTCTACTCAGCTACCAGCTATAGCTATTGTTTTTTTGTTGTTGTTGTTTCTACTCATCCTTCCTTTATATATAAATGTTTAGTTTATCCTGTTGCTTGGCTAAAAACCACCCTTTTGCTAAAGAGAAACATTTCTTTCTGTTATTTTAGTTTAACGGCTTATTGTCTCGTGCTGTTGGTTGTTGTTGTTTTTGCTATAGTAAAATTCTCTAATACACTGTTAGAAAAACTAGAAGCAGGTATTGAAACTGCTAATACCTATAGGAAATCTTTTTCATTTTCTCAGATTTTTGCAATTTAAGATTTCTCAAGGATCAGGTTAAATTAGAGATACATTTTCGCAAATTTTACTTAAAACTGTTCCAGTAACCATAATTGTTAATAATACGTTATGTTAATAATATAGAAATACTACCTTTTTAAAATTAATAAAAAATACCTTAATTGCTATTATTTAAGACTTTTATAACATTCCTGGGCATTTTTTATGAAAAATCACTTTTTTTAAAAGTAGTAGAAATACTACCTTTTTAAATTTTATTTAAAAGTACTTTTTAATCACTTCTATAACATTCCTGATAATTTTTCAGCAAGAAAATCACTTTTTAAAAAAAGTAGTAAAAATACTACCTTTTAAAATTAAATTCTTAAACCCAAATATTAAGAAAAAACTCATTAAAAGTTTTAAATTTTACTGAAAACTCTTGTAATAAACATAATTTTCAATGATTTTATAAAAAAAACATACTTTTTTCAAAAACTAGTAGAAATACTACCTTTTTAAATTTTATTAAAAACTACTTTTTTATCACTATTCATAACTTTTATAACATTCCAAACCATTTTTTACGAAAAAAAATCACCTTTTAAAAAAAGTAGTAGAAATACTACCTTTTTAAATTACATTTTTAAATCCAAATATTAAGAAAAAACTTTTAAAAAATTGTAAATTTTACTGAAAACTCCTATAACAAACATAATTTTCAATAATTTTATGAAAAAACATACTTTTTTCAAAAAGTATTAGAAATACTACCTTTTTAAATTTTATTAAGAACTACTTTTTGTTACTATTCAAGACTTCCATAACATTACTCACCATTTTTTAACAAGAAAAAGACTTTTTTTAAAAAAGTAGTAGAAATACTACCTTTTAAAATTGTAATTTTAAACCCGAATATTAAGAAAAAACTCTTAAAAAGTTTTAAATTTAGCTTGAAATACTTCTAATAATCACAGTAATTAACAATTTTATTAGAAAGACACTTTTTTAAAAAAAGTAGTAAATATACTACCTTTTTTAAAATCATCGAAAGATATCCAAATAGTGAATTATCCTAGTAAAATAATTATTTAATGCTACAGGACAAATTTCACTAACAATTTTAACTAAAATAAAACATTTTAAAAAAGTAGTAAATATACTACTATTTTAATTTTCACCAAAGATTCGAAAAATTCTATAAGAAAAGTGTTATTTTAGGTTCTTAGCGGAATACTAGACATAATTTGTTCTAAAATACACTTTTTGAAAAAAGTAGTAGAAATACTACCTTTTATTATTTAGAAATAAAACATAATTTTTTTATTAAAAATGGTTCATTTCATGATTTTAAATGAATTTCAATAAAAATTTAATAGAAAATAACAATTTTAAAATAGTAGTAGAAATATTACTTAATCGACAAGACTTTATGAAATACTTATAGAAAAACGTGTTATTTCATGTTTTAATCTAAAATTCGGTAACATTTTGTTAAAAAATAAATGTTTAAAAAGAGTAGTAGAAATACTACTTTTTTATATTCACCAAAAAACTTAAATTTTGTATAACAAATGATTTATTTAATGATTTTTAATGAATTTCAATAAAAATTTCATAGGAAATATCATTTTCGAAATTAGTAGTAGAAATACTACTTTCTTATACGTAGTAAAAACATAAAATTCTTATAGGAAAAGTTTTATTTCATGATTTGTTCCAAAATTCATTAAAAATTTGTTGGAAAATTCAAGTTTGAAAATAGTAGTAGAAATACTACTTTTTTATATTTAACAAAAAACATGCATTTTTTATAAAAAATTATATGTTTTGTGATTTTTAATGAATTTCAATAAAAATTTAATAGGAAATAATATTTTTAAAAATAGTAGTATAAATACTACTTTTTCATATGTAGTAGAAAACATAAAATTCTTATAGGAAAAGTGTTATTTAATGATTTGTGAATAAATTTAATAAATTTTTGTTAGAAAATGCTCGTTTCAAAATAGTAGTAGAAATACTACCTTTTTTTAATTAAGTTAAAAGTATAAAATTTGTATTGAAATTGTTTATTTAAAGATTTCAGTTGACTTCAAAAAAAATGTTTGTCTAAATTTACTTTTTCAAAAAAGTATTAAAAATACTACCTTTTGTAACTTTAATAGATGTTCTCTACGTGTATTTGTGAAACACTATTTTAAGTTTGAATACACGTGGTTTCATTAATACTCATTTGCAGCTCTACTTTTAGGCTCTTTTCAGTCTTAAAAACCTCTCACTCTCTCTCTTTCTCTCTGTCATATTCACCAAATATATTTCCTCTTTTTATTCCTCCAATAAAGGACTTCATTTTACGCTCTGCTACATTTCGTTGCACACAACATTGCATGTGAACAATTTGCCTTAGACTACTTCTGCAGAGAGCTAAGAAAGGACCTTTATTAATTAATAAAGAAAATTGTTGTTGTTACTTTTATGATAGAACAAGAGAGGAACTCAGAAATCATTTTTAGATGTTTTAAAAAAGATAAAAATCTGCGCGTTTGCGCTTTTTTCCTTCGCTGGTTTGTAGTTTGGTTGGCTTTTAAATTAGAGCAGGAAAATGTGTAATAAAAAATTTAGTTTTTTTATGATTTTATCAGTTTATTTTTAAGAGATAATGTTGTCTGTTGCTTGCATGTATTTTTGTTAATTGCTTGTTATTATTTAAATAAACGGAAGTGGTTTTTCTTTTTAAGGATTTTTTGTTATTGTTTTAAAGGAAATTGTCATAAAGAGACAGGGAGATTTGTCATTAAAAAAGTAGTTGACTAGAGGGAATCGAAATTTGAATAGTGAGGGAGACTAAGCAACAGGGCAGTATCTTTTATTATAAATTCCCACACAATAGACAAATTAGAAATAATTTATGGCATTTACAGTGACAAGTGTATTTTGATGATAAAAAGTTAAGGGGACAAACTAATTATGAAAAATTTATACCTAAAATAAAGATTTTTAAAAAAGTAGTAGAAATACTACCTTTTTTCAATACTCCCAAAACAACTTTATGTGGTAATATAATATTTTAAGATCTACTGCAATAATTTCCTAAAATAAAGATTTTTTAAAAAGTAGTACAAATACTACTTTTTTAAAATTCTCGAAAATGAACAATTTTGTTTGGAAAAGGTTTTATTTCATTATATGTTTCCAAATTCTAGCAAAATTTTAACTTTTAAAAATAGTAGTAGAAATACTACTTTTTTGAAATTCTCGAAAATCCTGAATTTTTCATAACAAATGTGTTATTTCATTATATTTTTACAATTGTAGCAAAATTTGGGCCTAAAAATTAATTTTTAAGTAGTAGAAATACTACTTTTTATAAATTGACAAAATATCAACAATTTTTTATTGAAAAGGTCCTATTTCAACGTATTTACTGAATTCTAGTCTATTTTCGACAAAAAAATTATTTTTAAAAATAGTAGTAGAAACACTACTTTTTAAAAATTCTCGAAAATCAATAATTTTTTATAAAAAATTTATTATTTCAATATATATATATTGAATTCTAGTCCAAATTAGTCTAAAAATTTACTTTTAATAATAGTAGTAGAAATACTACTTTTTACAAATTGGCAAAAAATCAACAATTTTGTATAGCAAATGTTTTATTGCAAAGAATTCATTTAATTCTAGAAAAAATTTAGCCTAAAAATGTAACTTTTGGAAAAAGTAGTAGAAATACTACTTTTTAAAAAATCAGCAAAATCAACAACTTTGTATGGAAAATGTATTATTTCGACATTTTAGCTAAAAGTTAACAAAATTTTTGCTTAAAAATTAACTTTAAAAAAAGTTGCAGAAATACTACTTTTTAAAACTGAATTAAATTGATAATTTAATATAGAAAATATTTTATTTCAACATTTTAATAGAATTTTAGCAAAATTTTTGTTTAAAAATTCTGTTTTGAAAAAGTAGTAGATAAACTACTTTTTCAAATTCTCCAAAAAATCATAATTATTTTATATCATTTACATAATTTCAACATATTTATTCAATTCTATGGAAATTTTTACCTAAAAATTATCTTTTAAAAATTGGTATTAGAAATACTACTTTTTTGTTAATTCAACAAAAAATATAAAATGTTTATGCGAAATGTATTTTTTGATATTTGGATTTAGGTTTAGTAAAAATTTAACTATTTAGATTGTTTTAAAAAGTAGTATATCTACTACTTTTTTGTTTTTTTAACAAAAATCTTTAATTTTGTATAAAAAAGTATCTTTGAATGATTCTCACTAATTGCAAACCAAATATTTGGTGAAAAATACCCTTTTGAAAGAAGTAGTAAAAATACTACCTTTTTAAAATTCAACACAAATTATAAAATTGTTATGCGAAATGTATTTTTTGATGATTAGTTAGTTTCTAACAAAAATTAAGTGAAAAATAGTAGTAGAAATACTACTTTTTTTAATTGCCATAAAAATGCTTAAAAATC